GGAAAGAGAGGTCCCTGCCCAAACCCCAGGGGACAGTCCCACAATCCCATCCATCTGTGACTGACAGGCGCGCCGTCTCGCCCGCTTTAATTCCCTGATCAACTTTATCAACCATCTGCTCTTGAAGAACTCAGGGACCGAAATCAGGCCCTGGGCTCTCTCAGGTCCTCCTGCAGAGCACACACAGCCTGCCTGTCCTCATGCTCTCTGACACACAGGCCACACACTGAGAGCAATGCACCAAACTCTCCTTCAGCATTTAAAATGAGTTACATATGTAATATATGTTTTATATATCTCAATCCGTTAGGCTTACATATATTATATACCTTTTGAGTCTTATTCTTCTGGGTGTGGGGATGATATGAAAAATGGGAGGGACACTAATTATCAGGTTGCACGTGAATATTAACTGCATGACATGTTCTGATTTGCTGAAAAGCAGACAAAGTTGGAAAGAACTAGTTTTAGACTCATGCTCGCACACTCGTCTAACACTCCGTTTAAAGTGTATGTTGTGTTCAGCTGTTGTGGGGTCAAGAGTCTGAAACAGGTGTGGTCAGAGTGGCAGAGAGAGCGACAGCTGAGGGTAAAAGGATCTCAAGATGAGAGCACAAGGACAGCTGCTCTGACCTCCAACCCCCCTCCTCCGGAGCAGAGTGCCAGAAGAGACCACCGACATTCTGGGGAGGACATTCCTTTGCACCGAAACCATGTTTACACTACAAGCGGATGACGTGACAAAACTAGAACGTGTTAGTGTCAGTGTAGATGAGTCGGAGTAGTATATATGCTAACCCATTTTTATTTACAATATTACCAGTTTTTTTAATTAATTTTTATCATCACAAATTACATTATCATTAATAGAAAATATATTCAATTAAATAATCTATAACTAAATTATATTAGTATATTTATAATTTCTTAATATTAATGCATGAGTGCAGAATATTTCTTACTCATTTAAGATAAACTTTCCACGGTTTTAAAATTAAAATAATAGTATTTTCAGAAAAAAAAGGCAGACAGACAGACAGAAAGAAAGGACACAGAGAATTCATCATATGCTGATCCGCTCTGTGTTAAAGGGCAGTAGTATCAATGAACAGAGGCTGTTAGATGGCGGGACTTTCCAGGGGCCTCTGGCGTAAATAAGATCTCTGTGGTCATATAGCATATCGCATCAGTCCAACCGGCCTGTGATTATGAAAAATTACTTGGAATTGTGATGAGTTTCAGTATCCTGTACCAAAAACTTTTATACCTGCTTAAAAAAAAAAAAAAAAAAAAAAAAAAATTATAAATA